TGGGGTTTATGGGTGAAGCCCACCACCTTAGCAGTCTGGCCTGTAATCATATTGTGTGAATATCTTAGAGTGAATGCAGGAATGGTAACTGCAAGCAAGGGCAGAGGCGGCCAAGAGACAAGGGGCAGGGAGCTCTTGCATCTGTGCCTACCACATTAGCACGTGCAATATGCACATGGGGCTTTCAGCTCAGGAACACTGGGGAGCTCCTGCCAGAAAGACAATCATATCTGGAGTTCTGAACTCATGATAAGTTCTTGGTTTAAAAACAAAAAACACCTGCAGGCAAGCTGTGGCAGTTACCCTCTGAAGAGGAGGCGGGGCTTTGGTACTCAGAACAAAACATGCTTATGACTCATTGGAGGGCCTAATTATGGACGACTAGGTGTGGCTGGGTTGCTCTGCCTAGGACTCAGTCTTTGAGGGTACCCGGAAAAAAGTCTATGAGCTGTGAGTTTCAGAGGCCATGGGGACAATTTTTAGGCCTCCAGGGATGAGGAGGAGAACACTTCCCAGTAAAGGAGACAGGTTGAACTAAATTCAAAATGTTCATTATTGGAAACAGGTCTTTGGGCAAGTAACATCATTTGTGATGAGCTTTATAGTGAAGACTAACCGATAACGTGGTCTCATGTGTTTGTGTGTATATGTGTGCGTGTGTGTGTGTGAGAGAGAGAGAGAGAGAGAGAGAGAGAGAGAGAGGGAGAGAGAGGGAGAGAGGGAGAGGGAAAAAAAGAGAAACAAAAACAGAGATAGAGTCAGACAGACAGAGGGACTAGGCTTATTACAGATCACCTACACAGAGGGAGTATTAATGGAACATGCTTGATCCCTGGTGGATGACCCTACATCAGTTCCCCAAACCAAGGCAACCTTGGTGATAGCCATTTTGGAGCTACTGCCTCCTCCCCACATCCCTTGGCACCTCCTAGTTTCTTGTGCCCCCTCTGGCCCATGACACCATGGATCCAAATCTAGTATGTCTTTATAGCTTATGTTTTTCCACCTTGTCACATCAAGATCCCTCTGCCCAAACTAGAACACAGGTAGTGTGACAAGTTAAAAAAAAAAGCCGAAAGCTTCTTGGGACTGGCTAGGAGGGAAACCAGTTTTTCAGCTTCAGGGCCTTGCCACAGCCTACTGGGGTTTTCTCAACCATCCATCCTACCCGACCTAAGCTGCTTGCTAAGTTCCTGTTTCATAGAGAAACACAGAAGTTAAGAGATGAGCCAGCCTCACAACAAGGTCTGGCTGGATGAGGGTTTGAAGAGTACCTCCCACACCCCACTGCAATGAGGCATGGTGGAGAGGGGGAGGGATGGAGAGAGAGAGAGAGAGAGAGAGAGAGAAAACAGTGGCTACTAAGTCTTCATATTCTTATTTTTCCTGAGCCCAAGAATGCCCAACTATTGATTTGAGGAAGTGCCCAATGAGTTGGTAAAATGTGAGTTAACGAATAAAGAATGGAAAGCCCAGCCCCTTCTAAGGTCCCAACTCATGACCAGCTGGAGCCAGTTGACTTGCAAAAAGGAGTGAGAACAGACTTTGTTAACCCTTATAGATGAAACTATGAACTATTTAAACTGTGATGAACTCTTTAAATTGTGTATATGCCTTTTTTCACATATCCTTTTCTAAAGAAGATTTAAAGCACAAAGAAATTTAAGTAGTATCAGTACTTGAAGACAGAGGTAGAAGGATTGCCTTGCATTCAATGTCAACCTGAGGTACATAGTGATTTGCAGGTCATTTGTATTACATAGGAAGACCCTGTCTCAGCAGAAAAAACAAACAAACAAACAAAAAAAAAAAACTGTGGCTGAGAGCAGAGCTTGGTGGTGGTCTCTTCCCACAGCACTTGGGAGAGATAGGCAGAGTGTCTGAGGCCAGCCTGGGTTACATAGGAAACCTCATTTTCAGAAAAATATCTCGACACCTTACTGCGTTCATCAGACTCACATGACCTTAAACAGGTCTCCTTGGGCTTCAGTTTGTCAACTAGAGGCTATTTGAGAGTGACAGAAACACACATTAAAAGTGGGAGAGGATAAAAACCAAGCACCCATGGAGGCCCAGACTCATTCTCTCTCTCCTTTCCTCCCCCTCCTCTACTTGCAGATCAGGATGTAGCTCTTACTTCTCCAGCATCTGCCTGCTCCCTGCTATGACAATAATGGACTAAGCCTTTGAAACAGTAAGCAAGCCCTCAATTAAATGCTTTCCTTTATAAAAAGCAAAAGAAAGAAAGAAATTGGGAAAGGAGTCACCACAGAGCTAAAGCAGAATGCCTGGGATTTTGTCCTTGCTCTGGTTCTGGCAGACTCTATGACCTTGGATATGTCCCCTCCCCCCCCCCCTTTTTTCCTTTCTAGTTGTGAAGCACCTATTCAGGAATGAATATGGAAGTTTCAGGTTTGGGTGTAAAATGGAAATGTGGGGCTCTTTTTGAAAAGTATTAAGAATTATGAAATAAGGTGGAGAAACAAGCAAGGGCAACTTTCTCTCCATGGTGACCTTGACGCCATTATGGATTACAAGAGGCTCTGTCTCAAAAACCAAAAATGACTGAACAGATAAACAAAAACAAAAAAAAGGAAGGAAGAAAGAAAAGAATTGCAAGACAGGCAGCTGGGAAAAGACCATAAAACCCAGCTTGAGGCCCCTCTGAGCACATGTCCCTGAAGAAATGTCCAGGTCCCCCACCCACAAAGCTGACCCTTCAACTACTTCAAACACAGTTGTATGGAAAGCCCAGAATGGTTGCTGGCTCCTGGAGCTCTGCTTTCTGTGACAAGCCCTGCAGCATTTTTAAGGAAACTTGGGCTCTAGGGAGCATAGTTATAAAAAGCCAAATTAGAAGCTAGCCCCAAAAGCCTTTTCAGAGAGAGAGAGGAAGGAGAAAAAGAGGGGTGGAGGATGGAGAGGAAGAGGAAGAGAGTGGGAAAGAAAGAGGAGGTAGAAGAGAAAGAGGGAGAGGGAAAAAGGTAATTTTGACCCAAAATAAATTGTTTTCCCATCTACCTCTGAAGGTAGCTTGTGCTAGGTGAAAAACAGCATTTTTATCTTTTGTCTGTGTAGCTTCCTGATTTACAGAATAATACCACATCCGGGTCTTACGGTCCAGTTCTCTACAAGCTCATCAGGAAGCCTGAGTTGGTAATTTACAGAATTGATAATCAAAGACTAGAAAAGTGATGTGGCTTGCCCAAGGCCACACAGCTGCTACAACTGAGGCTAGAAGCCTAGAAACCTAACTCCTGGGAACAAGTAGGGGTCTTTCCACATGGATGGGCTGCTCCACAGCCTCAATAGTCAAGAGAAATGTGCTAACTCTACCCTCTGGTGTGAAAACACAGGACTTTTTTTAGCCCAAGGGGGGAGTTATCTATCTTCAATTCTTAATGACATCACAGGAACTCCTTCAGGTGCCAGTCTTAACTGTATACACACTTCAGTGCCTCCCTGACTAATGTACAGTGAAGCTCTTAGAGAGGAACAAGTGGGGCCAGCCCTCCAGATCCCAAAGAACGGAGGAGCTGGGCTGTCTAGAGTCCCTTCTACAGCTGTTTAACTGAGACAGGACTTAATCTTCAGGCCATAGATGGGGGTACAGAGGAGCTAAATCACAAGGAAGAAATCAGGTGGGGTTCTAGGGTTTTTCCTTGAATGACTTGCAAATGAGGCTTGGTTAGTGCCTGTGACTGGGAGAAAGTTGGGACCACATGTCAGAACACACAGGGCAAGCTTGGGCAGGCAGGCCCTAGAAAGCAGGTATAGGGATTTGCTTCTCCTCAGCTGTCTGAGCCCAGCGGAGCCTGTTTTCTCGTTTGAGAAGCAGAGAGCAGGTCTTTGAGCCATCTGATTGGTTTGAATTCTGTTTCATTCACCAACCTGTTATAAAAGCCACCTTGGGCGAGTTTGTTTCTCTCCAATCTCTAAAGGCCTCGCTGGCTTCCCCCACTTCGAAAACGAGAACGGTACCCATGACTTCTGACGGTTCTGAAGGATAAAGAAAGTGAGTGCACAGGAAGCTTCCCAAACAATGGAAGAGAACACAGTGATGGTAATGAGGGTGACTTGAGTTTCTAGGAGGAGCAGCTCTCAGACAAGTGATGCCTCAAACAGTCTGACCCGTGACAGGCTTCCTGGTGAGGTCAGGGCAGATCTGAGGCCTTGCAAGCAAATTTGTGTGGTGATAGATGATTTTCTTTCATGTGGGTGTAGTGTGTGTGTGTGTGTGTGTGTGTGTGTGTGTGTGTGTGTGTGTGAATGTATGTATGGACGCTCATGTTGAAGGCAAATGCTGATATTGGAAATCATCCTTTATGGACCCTCCATATTACATATCAAGGTAGGATTTCTCAGTCAAACCAAAAGCACGCCAATATGGCTAGTCTTGTTAGCCAGCTTGCTCCAGGAATGCCCTGTTTCCACTCAGTATTTATATGAGTTTCTGGAAATAGGAGCTCTGGTCCTCACACTTGTGTAGCAAGTATTCTAACCACTGAGACAACTCCCCAGTTTCTATACATAATTTTCACACTTGGAAAATTAGGCTGCACTGACCCAGCTCAGGCAAACTCTCAGCCTGTTGCTTTTGTCCAACACTGGGCCCCTAGAACCTTGGTTCTCACCTTCAATGTGCTCCCTTGAGACAAAAGAGCTGGCTCCAACTTTTCTGGGCCACACTTCACAAGTTTCTAAGATTGACGAACCCATGTCTATCTCCTTTGTAATTTTGCAACAACCTTCATACAGGCTGGAGGTAGCTGGCCAGGCATGGAGCACATGCACATGAGCACAAGCATGCACACACACTAACACGCATGCTCACGAGCACATTCTCAAGCCCACGTGTTTACCTACTGCGATTCTGGGAGCCTCACATCCCTGCCCCCACCTCAGATTCTTTTCTTCCTCCCACACCACAAAAGCCACAGGTACGAGTAGCCTCCTCCAACACAGCAACAGCAGACACAATGCAAAACCAGAGGCAGGCATCTTTGCAAAGTTGTTTTAAGCATCTAGCAGGATGTGAGCCCAGGTGGCTAACAGCTCGTTAGGGCCAGACCGAAGGAAATGCTGATGGCAGTGGGTTCAGTAAATGAGGCGGTGGCTAAGATATAGGCTAAGAGACTTGGCACAATGCTGGTGGGCAAAGGAACTAGAGCACCAACCCATCTGCCTCCACCATCTCCTAGCCCCATCTCCTCACCAAGTGCTGAGTCTCCCCAGGCAGGCCACACCTCCTGTCTGAAAGTCAGTTTTCCTATCTAAAAATTTCCAGGAAATCAGAGTCTGCCCACATAAATTTCAGAGTTTTTCAAAGATATGAGAGACATTGTCATGGTGGCTCCACCTTAGAAGATTAAGATGCTACCTGAGTGTCAGAGGAGTCTGGGAGAGGGTGGCTGCCCACATTCCAGAAAACTTCACCATTCCCTCTTTTACTTCATGGTGAAAGTCCTACACCTTAGCTCCCTATGTGATCACTTGTCAAGGAGCACATTGGTGGTTTAGGAGCTGTGGGTTTACATGTGGGGAGGGGACTGATACGTGTTGCCTACTGATGTCTCCAGTTCCAGGCCACAATTGACTTCCACTTCTCTGTTCTTCCTAACACTAGAGTAGTAGTCAGCAACCAGAACACCCAGTTGCCTCCTTCTCCAGATACAGCACACAGGTATGAGTCAGTCATATTCCTTCAGCTCCATAGTCTATGGCCAGGAGGTCAAGGAAGGCCCTGGGGGTAAGTAAGGGTGACCAGTGATAGCCTTAAAAAGTCTGGAGTGAGTGTGGATGCTAACAGCCCTGGCCCTTTCTAGTGGGTGGAGATAGGATGGGCTCCTCTGGGCCCATGGAGTAATACCCCCATAGGGTCCTTTATTTTGGGAAAGAGGGACTCACTGTAGCAGGCAGGCTATGTGGCTCCACTATCCTAGGGCCGGCCCATAGTTGGAAGTGCATGATGAGTTATGGACATCTGGAAGAAGGTAGAGTATGCTGCCTGGCTCTGACTCTGGAGGAAGCTTAGGATAGTGACTTCAAGGCGATGGGTCAGCAGGGGCTCTTGGTACATATATGGCACAGATGGAGAGTAGCTGAGCAGTAGCAAATGAATCCTAAAGCTAAGTGAACAATCAGCAGGAGAATCCGAAGCCTCTAGCTACTCCAGCTGAGGATGGCAAGAGTGAAGGCTACCCACATAGAGGTCAAGGAGGTGGTATGAGGGGCCCTGGCTGACAGGGGCTCTGTGTGCTTCTCCAGCCACGCAAACTCCTCCAGCAGCTGACGACGCTGAAGTTCTGGGCCAACCTTCTCACGAATGATCTGGTAGTAGTGATTCAGGTACTGGAGCTGCAAAGGAAAGTGGATATGAGGGAAGATGCCAAAAGATGAGGTCTTGGTACCATCTAGTCCCCTTCTATGGTACTCTAGCTTCACCGTGGACTAGGGACCCAGCCACTTCCAGACCTCTGTTGTTTTCTGGGGCTTGCTGGAGACTGTGCTCCTTGGTGGTTGCTTAATATTATAGTGATGCTCATGGAGAGGAGGTTGCTGTCTGGCACAGAAATAAAAAGCAAGCAGAGTAGTTAACCCCATTTTACAAAAGAGGAGACTGAGGCTCAAAGTGGGGAATGAACTGCATCATTCTATGCCTTTTGGCAGCAGAGCCCAGAAGGCCAGTTTCATATTCCCTAGGGATTCACTCAGTGAGTTAGGGGCATGCTGGTCTGACTAGAAAGTCCTAGAAGCTGTGGGATCTCTGACAGGCTGGGAGGATATGCACCCAATGATTAGCTACAGTGCCACAGTGTGGATCTTCCTAGTAAGGGCAGAAGTCCTTGGAGTAGGAGGAAGAGGGGCAAGAAATGCCTAGGGAGGCTGGAAATTGGCTATTCATAGGCTGAATGGTAGGTATTCCTAAGGACACTTACCTGCTCTGGAGAGAGCAGGCTGACATCGATGAGGTTTCGGTCATATGGCACAAAGGACACCACTTCAAAAGTCAGGTAGGTCCCTGGGTACTGAAATTCCATAAGGAAGGTTAGAAAGCAAGAAAGCAAGGGAGGTTGAGAAACTGGCTGAAAGCAGCAAGGGAAGGAATCAGGAGTGTGAGGAACTGATCCTTGCCAGCGCTGGAAACTGCAGTTAGACTTGAGCTTTCCAGAGTCTCTTCTATTCGCCAGTCTTCTTATCTACCTTCTTCCAGATGTACATGACTCATCATGCACTTCCAACCCTGGGCCCTGGGATAGCAGAGCCACATAGCCTGCTACAGTGACACACACACACACACACACACACACACACACACACACACACACACACATACAGCGCAGACAGAACCAGAAAATTTGAACACAGGGGTCTTCCCAGAGACTCATACTCCAACCAAGGACTATTCGTGGAGATAACCTAGAACCCCTGCACAGATGTAGCCCATGGCAGTTCAGTGTCCAAGTAGGTTACATAGTAATGGGAAGAGGGACTTCCTCTGACATAGTCTGATTGGTCTGCTCTTTGATCACCTCCCCCTGAGGGGGGAGCAGCCTTACCAGGCCATGGTAGAGGACAATGTAGCCACTCTTGTTGTGATCTGATAGACTAAGATCAGAAGGAAGGAGAGGAGGACTCCCCCCATCAGTGGACTTGGGGAGGGGCATGCGTGAAGAAGAGGGAGGGAGGGTGGGATCAGGAGGGGAGGAGGGAGGGGCTTATGGGGGGGAAACAAAGTGAATAAAGTGTAATTAATAAAGAAAAAAGTCAGACGAAATGGATCCTACCACACGCACTTCTCTATACGTCCCTTAATATTTTTACATAGTATTAAACCCAGGGGAATGATACACTCTTCTATTGCTGTTTGATTTATACACATTTAAGGATGCAGTTGAGCATCTTTTCACATGCACTGAATTCTTGTTCATTTTAATGAACTGTCTCTTCCTGTTGTTTGCCCACTCCTCCCCCCACATTTTGATCTTGTAGGAGTTCACAGTAAAATTAAAGATATTTATCTGTAATTTGAAATAGAGCGTTTGCTTTTCATTATGTCATGATTTTCATACAGATATTTTCTGTTTAATTTAGGTATGAACCTTTCCCTCATCACTTCTGGGTGTTTTATAGAAAGGTGCTTTTCCACTTGGGATTATAAATGAATTCAATAGGTTTTCTTATAGGCCTTTGTGGTTCTATTGTTTACAATGAAACATCGGTTCATCTGGCAGCAGGAATAGTGAGCTAATAGCGGGTAAGGGGTATGTGGATATGATCAAGGTACATGATAGCCCTGATTTGATGCAATAAATATGTGACAACAAATATGATATTAAACTCTCTTTGTGATAATAAACCCTCTTTGGTCCATCTTGGAATTATTTGTTATCATAGCAATGTCATTTTGTTTACTCCCCACAATGATTAATCATTCATTCTCTTGCCCATTTGTGGAGTGATTTCCTTCCCTCTTTCAGTGAAATACTAGCTAACCCTCCCCCCAATGCTTATGTGAATTAGAGGGTTATTTGTGGACTGGCTGTTCTGTTTCATTATTCCAGCTGCCTATTTCATCTCCACTGCCACCTTGGTTTTTTTTGTTGGGATAGTTTATAGGAGGATTGGATAGAGCTAGTTTTCCTTAATTGCTCCTCAAGCTTTCATTTCTCCCCCTACCTACCTAGATATTTTGCATGTTTATTTTCACAAATAAACTTTACTGTCATTGGTGAAATCACAAAATTATCTACTTAACATCGAAATTGAGGTTGTCTTGAATGTATAGATTAATTTAGGGACAATGGCATGCTCACAGTATCAACATTTCTTCCCAGAGAGCACCGTTTACTTACATCTTTTTTATGTCTCCTAGCAGAGTTTCTCTGTGTAAGCCTTTTAAAGTTTATATCCAGATATTTCATTTTGTTGGTTGCTCTAATATCAACTCTTTATTTCTAACAAGTTCCCCTGGGAAATATTATGTGCACTGAGAACTAGTGATTTAGGGCAGGGACAGTGATTCACTTGTTCTGGAGTAGAGACTGGTGCTGATATTTTAAAAGAAAAAGAAGAAACAAACAGCTTTCTGGATGATTCTAGAGTGCAGCTTGAGAAATGGATTTATAGAATTCATGAGGACCCAAGTAAGACTTCAAGTAAATTCATGCTTCTACATCAAATGTCCTTCTCCTTTGGCCTTTTTTACTCCCATTCATCCCAAAGTCAGAGCCGTGCTTTCTATATGTGTCTAGACCATGGCATATTACCTTAGTCTTTGCTTCCACCACAAGGGCCACATCTTCAAGACGAATTCCAAATTCTCCATCCTGGTAGTATCCAGGTTCTGAGATATATATATATAGAGAGATTATAATGACATTAAACAATGGGTAAGAGAGATTCATCCCCAGGATGCCTACACCAATCCACAAGTAAATGCAGGGCCTAGCAGCTTGGGAAGCCTGTGGAGTTGGCTCAGATCCTCTTAGATATAACTTGGTCTCACTTTCCCTTCCTTGTAGTCTAGTAAGTAAGACTGGAGCCCACTTGGGGTGCCAATCTCTGTGTGTGTCCTTTTCCTGTTACCCTAGCATTGGATAGATAATTCCATAGTCTGGGTGTACACCTGGAAACAATTTCCCAAAGGAAAAAAAAGAGTTATGGAAATCCAGGAGTGCTGGCACATGTTTGTAATCCCAGTACTGAAGAGGTGGAAGTGGAGATCAGGAACTTACGGGCAGCTTTAGCTATATAAAGCTACAAGGTTTATATAGTTCAAGAACAGCTACATAAGATGGTCTAACACAAAACAGCAAAATGCAGGTATGGGCAGAGGGAGCTTGGAGTAAGGATGTGATAACCATTTGGGAAAGAAAGCAATGGTAGAACTTGGGCTAAGCCTAAGATCAGCATGTTTTCTAAAGATGGTTGCATATGACTGCACTCCCCAGATAGTTCCACTCTGGGATTGGGTGGTGGGGTAAAGGGACTCAAGAACCATACCAATTGAAGTGAACATGCCCTTGGCCATGGCAATGTTGTTATACTGGAATCCCACTGGCCCTGGGAAGGAAGATATAAGCATGGTTTCAGTTCTATGTGTCACCAGCTTGGAAGTGAGCAGGTTCTGAAGGAGAATGGGTAACTGGAAAAGGGTACATAGGTGTCTATATAAGCACTTATCATATCTGGAACTGGCATAGACCAGATGGACTTGCCTTTTATTTATTTGGGTATATGCCACTTAGTCATCAGTCCTTGGTTCTCTCTATGAAACACCCAACTGCCAGTTTTTTCCATTTAGCCCTTGGAGCATCATTCTCCATTTGGTGACCTTGGCTAGGTCATGCATCTCTGTGCATGCCTTTGGAAGGCTCTTTCTCACAGGAGAGGATCAAATAAGGATAGCTGAGAAGATACTTACACTCATGCACACAGAGGAAGTTGCCAATGCCATGGCCTGTCCCATGACCATAATTGAGCCCAACTTCCCACAAGGCTCTTCGAGCAAAGGCTTCTACCATTCTCCCTGAAAAGGAAAAGAGATTGCTCTTGGTCCATTTGGCTGGACCCTAAACTGTCCTTCATGGCCTTTCCTATTTAATGTCTAGGGTGGTACCCGAGGATAAGGGCTATTGAGAGGACACTGGGGTGAGATGGAGAGGGGCTGATAGATGAAACTAGTAAGTATCTCTCTGATCAACTCATCCCAACCCCCACTCTCTCTAGCACTTCATACATTAGACTTGTTACCTGAACTGATGAAATTATTGAAATATTTCCTCATGAGATAGGCCTTAGCACTTTGATAGTGACTTCCTCCAAGAATTGTATATGACTTCTGAAGCTCACACTGACCTTCCCTGCCTCTGAGTGACAGCACTGGATTAAAAGGTAGGGGACCTCTATTCAAGGCCTGGTACTCCCACTAACCCTAAGTTGGACCTTGAGCAAGTCCTCTCTCTTGGCTACACTTTCTCATTTATATGACAGGGATGGGATATCCCACTAGCCTCCCAGGATAGCAATTGGAGTCCCATACAATGAGAGCCTGAGGTGCGTGGGTACAGTCTGTTTTCTGAAATCTACCTGATGTAGCAGCAGGAAATACAAGTCTGAACAGATCGATGCTTCCCATTAGTACACGTGTATAGGCCTCCTGGTAAGGAGAGAGGAGGAAGAGATGATATAGAGGGTACGAGGAGGAGCCAGGGAACTTCCAGCTGTTTGATTTTGGAGCAGATAGGAATAGAGGCCCAGGACCAGGGATTAGGAGACAGTCTCATGTGTAGTCTTTCAGGTTTTGGAAGATGACCAAAGGAAGAAAGGTGTTCCCAAAGCTGGGGCCAACTCCATGTGCTTCTCTTAGGCTGATGTACAGGCATAATTGTCATGTGCTGGAAAAATGCTTGTAGAGGGTAGTGACTGAGTGGGTGGCAAGCAGGCCTTTTTCATCTCAAGTCTAGGATCCTGGCTTGGCCACTCACAGGCTCTCTCATCTCTTTATACCATGGTTTCCTCATACTTAATAGGATTCTAATGGTACCTGGTTCCTAAAATAGTAGGATGAAGTAGACTGACAATGAGTGTAAGGCAATGAGCAAATGCTCAAGTAAAGTGAGCCTGGTTACTCCTATATTCCTCACAGATATGCTTTCAATTTAATATGTAGCCAAGGTTTACTTTTCACAGTCAATCTTTCTGTCTTTACCTCCCCAGTGTGGTCTACCATGCCTTAGCAACTCCCTTTAGTTTTTCTTAAGGCCTGAAGTTGGGCCTGATCATGTGGCAGGGCAGGTTTCCTATTGTGAGAAAGTGGTGGACAATGGAGACCTGTTCTGGTCACTGCTAGTGGCCATGTGGTCACTTCCTCCCCCTCCCTCCACTCCTCCACTGGCTTGCCATCTGGAGCTCTGAGGAAGCAGATTCATCAACATGCTAAACTATGAGCTCCTAAAAGACCCACACAACAGGGATTCCTCCTCTCTGCTCCCAGCCTGCTGGCTGCATGGCTGCATGTAAGCAGCTCCCTGGCCCATTTACTCTAGCCAGTGCTCCATGTTCTATTCCACCAGTTCTAGCTCCTTCAGCTCTCTGAGATGCCCTGTGCTATTTTCTCCACTAGAGATAGCTTTCGCTCCCTTTTGAAGAGCACAGGCTGGATATACAGATAGCTAGTGTCTGTACATTTATGGACTTGACATGGCAAGAGGATACATGTGGCCTGGGGTCTTGGTGGTAGTGTGACTTTGCTCTGGTTTTCCTGGTACTTGTTGTGTGACCTTGGGCAAACTACATAACATCTCTGGGCCTTAGTTTTACTCTTTCAGTTTCAAAGGGCTTTTGATGACTTGGGGTTTGGGGAAACTTAAGGGAAAAACTGTGTTCCAGTACTTACTTTTTGGAAGGCAGTAGGGGTGCCCCAATGTACTGTTCTGGTGATATCTGTGGTCCCATCCCTGTGGAGGAAGTGAATCAATACATCCAACTCTGCTGAGTACTTGGGAGGAGGGTCCAGGACCATGTGCTTCTTGTGTATTTCCTATTGTTTATTTATTCCGGGGTTTGAGTGACTGGGCTAGACTAGGACATGGGGGCAAGTAAAAATGAAGCTAGAGAACCAGGCATGGTGGCGCATGCATGTCAGAAAGAAAGAAATATGTATGGATGAGAGGTGGAGAGGGAGGATAGGTACCACCATCAGAATCATACCTCAGCATCCATGCACCAAAGAGACTTAGTTGAGTTCTTCAGGTAAAAGTCGCTATATTCAGGGCATTACCTCTCTCTCTCTCTCTCTTTCTCTTTATAAATTACAGATGGGGAGACTGAAGTTCATAAAGGTGATGTTATTTTAACATTCCCATAATCACAGCCATTTACCGTCTATAGGATACTTCGGCAGCTCACCACAGAGGACAACAGAGCAGGCCTCCTTATTAAAGATGGGACCACTGAAGCCTTTAGCCATCTCCCTCCCCCAAATTTGGTAAAACCAGGCTGGAGAAAATGCTGACTTGTCATAAAATGCTCTTTGTTTTGACCATGGCTTGGAATTCCATGAATGTGAAGCCATAAGCAGCAGGTCCAACTCACTATCACTGGCTATTGTGGCTCCCCCAGGCAGGCACTAAGCATAACCATCCCAGGGTGGGAGGCATAAACAAAGGGTCCCAGGACTCCGGGGCTTCTTGAAAGTAGGTCATGGGGCATGGAGAACTTCTTCCTCAGGAGAGAAGAGGAAGTGAGGTGATTATTTCCCTACCTCACCTTCTTCTGAGCATGCCCCAAACCCAACATGTCCCCACAGATTTACTTCCTTTTTACAGCCATCTCAAGTTCACACAGCATCAAACTAGTGATAAGTACAGGTTGCTACATTGAGCACATGGCAAGCTGGCTCTCCAAGAGGACAAAAGTTGGGAAACCTGATGAAATTGTGAAGGACTGGTCATATATTTCAAAAGAATACAGTTAGCTTATTAGGCATGATTGTCACATCAGACTGTTTAGGTTGACATTGTAACAAGAGAATCCCATCTAAAGGGCGATTTCTTTCATCTTCCTCCCTCTCCAATATCACATGGTCACTTATCTTGTCATGGAGAATGAGTTGGGTTTGATGACTCAGATGTAGGCTATGTCTAGGGCTTGCATGAGTAGGTGAGAATATGGGTGTTTATGTTTGTGCAGCCAGGCAAATCTGTGTAAATAATATACAGACTTAAAAAATTACTTAAGCAAATAGAGGTTTTTCCTAATTCTCATACAGGTCCTGCATGAGTGCCCCTGTTATTCTAATTTCTGTGTATTTTCTACTGTGCAAATACCCACAATTGGAACATGAGAAAGCTGCTCAGGGCTTTTTCAATGCAGCCCCTTGCTTTAATCAAATGAAGACTTATGACCTAAGAAAACCAACTTCAGCTGGCCTCTGAAAGCTCCAGATGTCTGAGCTGAGAAGTAGGCCAAGGCATGATAAAATGTACATACCAGTATTGCCCCCCAGAATCCACCAGGTACATCTCATCTGTGGACAGCTTGCGGTGCAGCTCTTTGGTTGGGCTGGGAATGAGAATGAACACTGAGAGGGTAAACGGGGTAAACAGGGTGGACATAAGGATAGGGGCTGAGGAGAAACAGAACTCCCCCCCCCCACTACTTACGGGCTAACTTTCCAGGATTTCTGCTCCAGGAAAATAACTATCCCCCCCCCAAAAAAAAATACTGGGAAAGCACTTGGCTCTAACTACAGTTGCTGTCCTCAGAACACTTCTGTTTATCCTGAATACAACTAAGCAAGCAAGACTTTAGTCCCAGGAAGAGAAACTAATAGTTTCAGAGGCTGCTTGGTTCAGCTATCTCTACTTGCATAAGAAAAAGCCCAGAGGTAAGAAGCTTGCAAGAGGTCAACAGCACAGCAGAGAGGCACTGGGCTTAGGCTTTCTTTCTCTCTAAGTTCTTGATGCATCCAAGAGGGTCCCAATGCACTAGGGCACAGGAAGAGAGGAGGCTTTAGGACTGGAGAACACTATTTTAGAGGACTGAGGTATATCACTTCTGCCACTTTCTAGCTTCAGTGGGCAAGGCTTGGGAGGCATCAGGGAAGGGAGTTCTTGGACATGCCAGGTCTTTTTCTGGAGGGCATCTGACTCTTATTCTGTTATGTCCTGACACATTTAGTCAGCTTGCCTCTACCATGGTTTGTTTTCTGTGGGACTAAGTAACTAACTAACTTTTATTTTGGACTCACTATGGTTGATGGAGGCTGAGTAAACAGCCTTTCTCTGTGTTTTTTTTTTTTTTCCTGTGGTATTCATGTCTGAAATCACCATGGTCACACAGGAAGATCACATATTCCTGGCCAGCCTGAGCTACAAAGCAAAGCCCTGTCTCAAATTAGGTATGGTGGTACACAACTCTAATTCCAGTACTTCAGAGGCAGAGTTATGAAGCTCAGGGTTAGAACCAATCTTGACTGCATAATGAGTTTGAGGATAGCCCAGGCTATATATAGGAGACCTTGTCTCAAAAATAAAATAAAATAAGATAAGATAAGATAAGATAAAATAAAATAAAATAAAATAAAATAAAATGACAATCCAGGCATGGTTGATTAAAGACAGACCTTTAATCCCAGCACTCAGGGAAGCAGAGGCAAGCAAATATCTGTGACTTTAAGGCCAGCCTTGTCTACAAAGTGAATCCAGGATGGCCAAGGCTACACAGAGAAACCCTGCCTTGAAAAACAAACAGGAGGTGGCAAGATGGTGGCACAGAGAGGACACTCTGTCTGATAAGCAGGGCAGCAGTGAGTGCACAGTGACCAATAGACCAAAGTGTGGCCTCCAAAACACCAGCGACTGTGTTTCCCAGGTGAGAGGAAACCCCAAGATGTGGGCAGCAATCAGGTCTGATCTCATGTCACCCAGCTAAACTCCAGAAGAGTTCCTGGGCTCCCTGTCACCTGTCACGATGTTCCCTGACACTCTGTCACTAGCCCAGGGCAACATACCTGCATGATCTGATCACTGGCTCAGACTGAACTGCGGGCCCCACACCACCAGAAACTGTGTTTCCCAGTTGAAAGGAAATCCCACAGTGAAGGAAGCAATCGGGTCTGACCTCAGGGGTCACCAGCCAACTCCCCTACTCCCCTGAATAGTTCCCGGGTTCCTGTAGGCACTGAGTCGCCAGCCCAGAGCCACACACTTACACGCTCTACTCACCATCCTAGACTAAATTGTGGACAGTCAAACACCATAGACTGGATATCCTCATCTGGAGGAAACCAAACGATGAGGGAAACATCAGGTTTGACCTCAGGGCATCCAGATAATTCCTAGAAAAATTCCTGTATTCCTGCAGGCTTGGGGCTCTAGCCTCCAGCCACATGCCTGTGTGCTTTGCTTACCTCCCATTGTTTACTTCTTGGGTGCTGGGGCACAGAGCTCCAACCTCAGACCTACAGACACCTGGGATCCATGGGACTATACCCAGATGTTACTCCAAAGCTCAACCTGTCTCCCTAGCTAAACCGACCAAACCTCAGGGTGCCCTGGTCCTTTAAGAGGGCTGTGCCCAGCAAACACAGTGTATGAGCAGGAGCAGCAGCTCAATAAATTCAGAGAAAGAAACCCAGTGGCAGGGTAGCTGTCTCTGGGACTTTTCCTGGTGAGAAGAAAGCCCCTGGGCTCCCAACAAGCTCAGTTATCCCACAGGACCATACACCTGAGGAGAGCTGTGACAATTCCCTTGAGAAGCACCAGCCATTCAGTGACCATACCCAAAAAACTGAGGAGGCCTTCTTCAGGAACAACCATCTTTCTGCCAAGGGGATTTCCTCCCCCACTCTCTCTTCACAAGGACTCCAGTAGGCACCAGAAACTAACAGCCAACATAACACCTAAGACAGCCAGATGGGTAGAAGCCAGCATAAAGATACAATCAACAAGGGCCAAGACAATATGGCATCTCCAGAACCCAGTTATCCAGGGGCAAGTAGCCCGGGATACCCTAACATAAGTGAAATTCAAGAAAATGATATTAAATCTATGCTCATGAGGATCATAATAGAGGAAACAAATAAAATTCATATATAGGAAGATAAAGTCAAACAGATCATAGCCATCCATAAAGAAATACAGGAAGATACAGCCAGTTTGTACCCTTTAAAGAGGAAATAATTAAGTCATTGAAAGAAATAAAAGAAAAAGAGGAAAGTTCAAATAAGCAGGTGAAGGAATTGAAGGAAAAGCAGGAAAATACATACAGGTAAAGGAAATCAACAAAATGTTCAAGATCTCAATATAGAAACAGAAAAATTAAAAAAAAAACAAATTGAGGAAATCATGGAGAGGGAGAACTTAGGGAAGAAAACAGGAATTATAGAAGTAAGCATATTCCACAGACTATAAGAGATGGAAGAAAGATCTCAGGTGTGGAAGACACAATGGAAGAAATCAACTTATCCATCGAAGAAAATGTTAAATCTAAAAAATTCCTGACAAAAAACCATCCAAGAAATCAAGGACAACATGAAAAGACAAAACCTAAGAATAATAGGAATAGAGGAAAAAAGATTCCCATCTCCAAGGCCCAGAAAATATTTTCAACAAATCATAGAAGAAAATTTTCCCAATTTAAAGGAGAGGCCTGTAATCATACAAGAGACCTACAAGAACACCTAATATATTAGACCTGAAATGAAAATCCTGCTGACACATAATGATCAAAACATTAAATACACAGAAAAAGAAATAATACTAAAAGCTGCAAGGGTAAAAGGCCAAGTATCATATAATGGCAAACCCATCAGAATCACACCTGACTTCTCAACAGAGACTATGAAAGCCAGAAGGGCCTGGACAGATATCATACAGACCTTTAAAGAATACAGATGTCAGCCTAGACTACTATACCCAGCAAAATTCTCAATCATCATAGATGGGGAAAACAAGAAATTCAATGACAAAAACAAATTTAAACAGTACCTACCCATAAATCCAGCCTTAAAATGAAACTAGAAGGAAAAATACAACCCAAGAAAGCTAACTACACCCAGGAAAACACAGTAAATAAATAACCTGACTAAAGCAAACTAAAAGTAGCCAAGCACATAAACATACTATTACAACCAACATAAAAATAAAAGGATCACTGGACATTAATTTCTCTCAACATTAATGGACTCAACTCTCCAATAAAAAGACACAGACTAACAGAATGGATGCATAGATAAGACACAATATTCTATTGCATAAAAGAAACACACCTCAGTCACACAGACATTATCTCAGAGTAAAGGGCTGGACCATGGTTTTCCAAGCAAACCAACCCCAAAAGCAAGCAGGACTAGCCATTATAATATCTAATAAAATAGACTTTCAATCAAAATTAATAAAAAGAGATGGGGAAGATCACTTCATACTCATCACAGAAAAATTCCACCAAGAAGACATCACAATCCTGAACATCTATGCCCAAATACATGGGTACCCCCATTTGTAAAGGAAATATTAATAAAACTGAAACCACACATAGATTCCCCAAACGTTAATAGTGGGAGACTTCAACAACACACTCACATTAAAGGACAGATCAACAAAACAGAAACTAAATAAAGAAACAATGACACTAACATATGTCATGAATCAAATAGACCTAACAGACATCTACAGATCTTTTCAGCCAAACACAAAAGAATTTACCTTCTTCTTAGCACCTCATGGGACCTTCTCCAAAATAGACCATATAGTTGGTCACAAAGCAAGCCTCAACAGATACAAGAAGACTGAAATAATCCCTTGTATCCTGTCTAACCACCATAGAATAAAGCTGGACTTCAACAACAACAGAAATAGCATAATCCTACACACACATGGAAACTGAACAACTCTCTACTCAAAGACATCTGGGTCAGGGAAGAAATCAAAGACTTCTTAGAATTCAATGGAAATGAAGGCACAACATACCCAAGCTAATGGAACACAATGAAAGCAGTGCTAAGAGGAAAGTTCATAGCACTAAGTGCCTTCATAAAAAAATCCGAAAGATTTCATACAAGCAACTTAATGTGTCACCTGAAAGCCTTAGGAAAAAAGAAACAGATACATCCCAGAGGAGTAGATGGCTGGAAATAATAAAGCACAGGAGTGAAAATAATAAGCTAGAAACAAAGAGAACAAGTCAAAGAATCAAAGAAACCAAGAGCTGGTTATTTGAGAAAATCAACAAGATAGAAAAACACTTAGCAAAACTAAATAAATGGCAGAGAGACACCATCCAAATGAACAAAATCAGAAAGGAAAAGGGGACATAACATACACTGAGGAAATAAAAAACAATCATTAGGTCTTACTTCAAAAGCCTATATTACACAAAATTTGCAAAACTAAATGAAATGTACAATTTTCTTGATTGATTTCACTTACCAAAACTGAATCAAGATCAGGTACATAAATTAAATAGTCCTATATCCCCTAAGGAAATAGAAGCAGTAATCAAAATTATCCCTTCGAAAAGAAGCCAAGGACCAGATGATTTCAGTGCAGAATTCTACCAGA